TAACACATACACACACACACACACACACACACAGAAACATACACACACAGATACAGGCACAGACAAGGACACAGACACAGACACAGACACAGACACAGAAACACACACAGACACAGAAACACACACTCACACACACACACACACATATATATATAAATATAATTGTATATTCATGCACAAATATTTATTCATACACATACATTCAAGCACGTATATATACATTCAGAACCCCTCGATACAAGGAGTAAAACATTCACACGAATGTTATGGCATACCTTCTCGTAGTTGTCAAGTAGCTGATAGAATGCGCTGTACGTGGGTCTGTTAAAGAAGCCTTTCTTGTCAACGAAGGAAAACAGGGGCTCTGGTGCAGCGTCATACGTCATATCATACGCCTGTGGATATATAGTCGGTTTACTCAAAGTATGGCATCTCCACACTTAATATACACATTCGTCAATAGACTTGATCATTTCGCATATATACAGATCGATCTTAATGGATATTTAATAGATGCAATACCTGCCAGAGATATATCGAAATTTATAGAGCTTCTCAAGAATACGGTTTGCCTCTCCCTACACAGCACAAACCTCACAATACATACACACATGGCAATTATCAGCAAAACAGCACAAACCTCACAATACATACACACATGGCAATTCTCAGCAGAACAGCACAAACCTCACAATACATACACACATGGCAATTCTCAGCAGAACAGCACAATCCTCACAATACGAACACACATGGCAATCCACAGCAGAACAGCACAAACCTCACAATACATACACACATGGCAATTCTGGGCTATAGACCGATGTCTGTGGACTAGAAATTGTACAATAGCTGTTATTGATTCAGCAGAACAGCACAAACCTCACAATACATACACACATATACCTCACAATACATACACACATAAGCCTCACTATACATACACACATAAACATCACAATACATACACACATGGCAATTCTGGGCTATAGACCGATGTGTGTGGACTAGTAATTGTACAATAGCTGTTATTGATTCAGCAGAACAGCACAAACCTCACAATTCATACACACATATACCTCACAATACATACACACATAAAACTTACTATACATACACACAAACCTCACAATACATACACACATAAACCTCACAATACATACACACATGGCAATTCTTGGCTATAGACCGATGTGTGTGGACTAGTAATTGTACAATAGCTGTTAGTGATTCAGCAGAACAGGTGATCATGAACCTATTTTACGCACGCAACGTGAATCCTGACTGCAGATTGAGAGGCTCAGGGGATGAAGTTTCAGGCAACAACAAATTAAGTGGCACGTTAGAACCTTTCGTCCTTTCTCTTTCTGGAAATGCACTTTCACACAGTGAATCTGGGTGGAATACAAATCCCTTCCATGTATGATTTCCGTAACATTAACATGCTATGTCCAACATGCAGATCAAGATCATGTTAGGCGTACAGGCTTAATGTGTTGTCAGTGGTAGTAAGAAGCACGTATAAATTGAGAATATCCAGGTACATATTCCACCGTAAATAAACACCAGAACAAGCTTGCTTTCCCGCAGTTTTCGAAATACGCACAATGATTGCGAAGCTGGTTGGCCTATCTGTGACTAAGATGAACAACCGCTCACTCACTCTCCACATGAACTACGATATAAGACAATACAATAAAGCGCACAGTGCATAAAATTCGCACGAGTGTATCAACGTCAATACACATGCTTTTAAAGAAAAAGAACGTTTGATAAAGCACGACGCTGTATCCATTCTATAAAACTGTGTAGCTATCGAGCAGAACTAGCTAAAGAATCACAACATATCCACTCAACCACGAACAAAACTTAATTTTAAATTAAAATTTTGATTCAATGTGCCGTATACTACCTGTCAACATAAAATT